CTAATACCCAAACCTTCCTGCAAAATTTTAGAAATTTTCAATAAAAAACACAGGAGGTTTAAGCTTCAAAGTGGGTGAACAAAACTGTGTTCCCTCATATATACTAACATTCATACATACAGGAAAAAAACCCCAATGTTTGCATTTCTCGATCTGAGTGCAAAAATGTAAAAATATTTAAAGGGGGGTCATTTTTGACTGATCACCATACTTTCCTCCTGTTATACGTAACAGCTGAAAAAGTGATTATTAAAGAGTAACAATAATATATGTAAGAATTAATTTAATATTTAAATATTATTTTCTAATTGTACAGATATACTAAATTTAGATCATAATAGACTAGATTTATATTAAAATTTTACAGATTTACAACAACGCTAGCTTGTATGATGGACCTGCACCATTACCCATTGGATTCACAAAACTGCACCGTAGAAATAGAAAGTTGTAAGTCAATATATTTTGTAAAATATTATCGATTTTAATTTGATAATGGTTGGACTTAATAATATACTTAGAAATGGGAATATCTCATTTGAAAATTTTTACATTTTGCAAATTATTTTAGTTAGAAAATATTACAAATAACAAATGAGACTAATTATCACTGAGGTATTTACCAGGATGGCATCAATTGATGAATAGAGGAACTAACGAGGATTTGTATCATCTGGAGTCATTCTCACCATTTCCTTTTATTTTGGGATCGATAAGATTCGGAAATGGGATGGAAGTAGAAACTCTGGCAAAATACCAAGTTCTATTGTGAAAATTATCGGTATTCAGTTAAAGATTTCATCTTCAAAATATCATTTACATTCACATAAATTGTATGAGTTGCTTATTAAAAACATCAAAACTTTAGTAATCAAAAATGCATTTATTTAGCAATTATAAAATTTAGAATTATTTCAAATTATTATTCTTTAATAATATGAATTTAGAAATTTATAGTTTTTTTTTAAATTTATATAATTAGAAATTAAAATCGCCGATCACTTTATTAATAATTAAACAAAAAGATAAGCTTTAATAATTATATTTTGTTTACTTTTACAGTTTATAGAATTCTTAAAACTAATTAACGAAACGATAATTGAATACGCTTGTTTATTTTTCACATCAATACAGAATCTATAACTTTGTCTTCTCAAATGCTAGAAGCTAAATTATAATCTTTAAAAATGTAACTATGGCAGCATAAGTTTGAATTCAAACCTAAACTGCTATGGTTACAGTATTGATTTTACCAATAGATCCATTTTTAATTAGAATTTAGGGTTTGTTTTCTCTAATATTCCTAAAAATATATAAGAAAACCAATTAAAAACATTCCAAAATTAACAAATAAACATCAAAGAAAACAAATTTTGCATTAATCAACACAGAAGCTGTAGTAAAACTTAAGCATAATTTATAAAATATTAAAATAACTGTAAAACAAATAATATCACATAAAGTTAATTAATTTTTTAACTTTTATTTTTATTCTTCAAATTTTATTTGCATTAAAATAAATATTATTTGAAATTTCCAATTTTGGATCGTGAAATTTATATCTATCGAAAATAAAGCTAAAATATTTTATTCTTAGCTTTAACTTGCACATCACGTCTACACATGTATATACATATACAAGCTTATATTCACATTGTTTAATGACGTCATTTACTTTAAAAATGAAGTAATTTAAGCCACAAAATTGCAGACATTTCCATAAACATATCTAAACTCTAATATTCTTTAGGAAGATCTATATGCAGGATGCTATTTTACGACATTATAAGATTGGAAACCTTGAATTTGATAATATAAAGTCATTCAAAGTGTCTGACGAAAAAAACTAGTTATTAAGGATTGAAAGATACTTGGAATACGTATCCTTTTCCTCATATTAAAATGTACTCTACGCTCACAGAATTTTTACGTTTTGAACACGAATCTGACTTTATTTTTAGATTTGTATCATGAGTCAAAGGTTATTCAAGATCAAATTTCTTGAAAATAATTGCAGGGCAATAATATATATATAATATAAAACGGCTGAAAGTTAATGATACCATTGAAATCTTTGATATTTTCTACCCTTATGTGAATAGTTTCAAGCAGCTTGTAGTAATTGCTTCGTCAGAGAAGAAGCAATTACTACAAGAAGAAGCAATTACTACATGATAACAATGGGATGCTGCTTCTTCTCTGAAGCAGCATCCCATTGTTATCATGTTCTTAGGTTTGAAGATCATTCGTTTTTCTATAATTTAAAATTCAAAAATTTTACACAAATAACTGTTTTCCCATATAAGAAAATTAATTAATTCATAACTAATAAAATATTATTTTTTTATTATTTATAAAGCTGCTTACTTTTGATATCCTGGTCTACTTATTTCGATGATAATAAATTATTACATAAGAATATATTCGAGTTTTTTTATTATCATTAATATAATTTATGATTCAAGCAAACCAAGCATAAGTTATTGATTGCTTGTATTTTATATGATGGATCGTCTTTGTCTGCATTTTCTCGTCAGACAGCCGAGAAAAGTAAAATTAATATATACTATTATTTACATTCAAATATACAATTTATCATCATTTTTATGAAAGTCTTTAAGAAATCTTTTTTAATTCAGAAAATTCTAAAATCTATACAAGATTACAATCAAAATTATGTGAAAATTTAATATATTTTCGGCATTTTATTCGGAAAAAAATATTGATTTTAGGCAATGTTTACTAATGAAATAGTGAACTGTTTATATATAAAATTAACAATTATTTTCTAATAATGCAATCACCAATATATCATCTGCAAATATTTATAATATTAATTATAATTATTACGCTGTTAAATTTTATAATTAGCGGATAATAACTCAATTTATTTATCCGATAATCAGCAGCATAGAAGTATTTGGTGTGTATATACAAAAATTTCTCCAAAAATATACACAAATTAATGTAATTTATGTATATTATATTATAGAAGTGCACATAATCTATATTTTTACCACATATCAATACGTTATATTTTTATCTAGCAGAATATATGTGCATCTCCCATTGTATTATAACAAAATATATTTTTCTTGCCACGTCACAAAGATGGTTACACAGTGCGTGATGTTGTGATGTACTGGACAGATACTCCGGTCGTTGGGGTGGAAGAAGCGGAGCTTCCACAATTTTCTATAATTGGTTACGAGACGACAGATCGTATGGAGACTTTAGCAACCGGTAAATTAAATTTTTATATATCTATAAATATAATAAATATATATATATATAATTCATTTTCAATTCAATTTTTGCTTTCAATTTAGGAACATATCAAAGACTCTCTCTTAGTTTCGAGTTAAAAAGAAATATCGGGTATTTTATATTCCAAACGTATTTGCCTTCCATTCTTATTGTAATGTTATCCTGGGTTTCCTTTTGGATCAATCACGAAGCTACCTCAGCCAGAGTTGCTTTAGGTAAGATATTATTTAAAGATTTTTTTCCTTGAGTAAATCCCTTACAGCTACTCATGCAATTCTTAAAAAAAGATGTCTTTTATACTGATCCTGTCAAATAATTTTTCATTTTCTCAATACAAATCGCGTGTTTAAAAATGCTCAAGCATGCAACAGATTTTCTTCACGAAACAAACCTTCTTTTTTCATTGTATAAAATGTTTATTTTGTATGTTTTAAATTTAAAAATAAACAGAAAATTTTATTGAAAATTATTTTTTAAAAATATATATATACTGTGTATACTCCAGTAAATCGTACATTAATTTAAATTAATTGTAATTCGACTCTAGTCACGGAATCAATTTTCTAGAATCTAATTTTCATACTTCATTATCTTTCGTGTAAATTATTATTATTATATTTTATTTTATTATTTTTTTTCTTTTAAATTTTCTTTATTATACTACCAAAAATTATCACTAATTTTTAGAAGTGTGTGGCTTATACATATTTCTTGACGTATAGTAAGATATATGACAAAATAAAGTAAGTAATCGTGTTCATTAAGGTGAATACTGTTCGTTAATTAAGAGAAAATAATTGAACATTAGATTGATGTTAGTTTGTTTTATATTTAATGACTCTAAAGCTACAAATATAAAAAGTAATAATTCATAGAGCCGAGATCAAATTAGCTTCTGGAGATTTTGGTGAGTAACAAAAAATGATTTTAATGAGTTAATAACCCATTTAACTTCATTTTTAGTCCATTTTTTCCTATTATAATTATGAAAAGATATGATAAAAAATTAATAAAATAAAGTAAAATGTAATATGAAATTTATCAAAATAAATGATGTATTTTGAGTGTTTTCTGTTAGGTTAAGAAAGGTTATTAATTAGAATATCGTAAAAAAATAAAATAAGTTTTATAATTTTTATGTATAGAAATTAAAACTTTTATATTTTATACCTAAAGATAAGAGTTTCTTGATAATATATATAGTAAAACCTGCGAAAACCGGAATCTTACGTTACCGAATATTTTTTTTTTTTTTTTTTTTAAGTTTGGCGGGTCTCCGTTTTGAACTGGTTCTTTTTAAACATAGAAAATCGCTTCGTTTTTAAAATGTTTCCCGTTTAGTCAGGTTTCCGTTATATTCAGGATCTGGACAGTTATGTATATAGGCCTACAGTATATACATATATGTAAAGTATAAACAGTATATAACGTATATTAAATGTATAATGTACTATATACAAATGTATGTGTACTGTATATACATTTATGTATATAAAGTAATACCTGTTATAACTTATGTATTAATATTCTGTATTTATTAATGTATCATTGCATCATGCTATTTTAAAAACAGAAGGCAAATGTTAAAGTTTTCATTGAAATTTTGTAAATAATATTTCAATAATATAATTATTTTAAGAATATTTTAAAAATTATCATCATTCCAAAGATGTCATTCTTGTTTTTTAATTAAATAATGCCACATATTTATACCCATATAAAGATCAATATTTAAAGTTCATATTTTCAATTAAGACCTATATTTTGAAAATTTTATATAAAAGTTTTTAAACAAATATAATTTATTCATTACAATTATCATACAGTATTTTAAAAAAAATGTTTCCTGAGTTATCAAAAATTTTCGACAGATGGCAGCACTAAACCATAATTTCATAACCCCAAATTAATATCCAAGTTGACTTCCTGTTGTATGAGGATGATATTAAATCCATGGATTTCCTATTTTTGACTCTTACCAGATGTTGCAGCACTTAATGCAATCTCATTAATCAATATCCATTGAATAAGTCGTCTTGATTATTTTTTTACATTTGTATTTATCTTTATTTTCATTATATTTTAATAAATAAACAATGTAACAACAATTTTCATTATTAGGACAAATTTGAACACACTGAAACTTGTTCTAATAACGAAATAAGTGTTCATGTCATGCCAGAACTCCATTTCAATCTATTACAAAAAATTTAATTAATTACGCTTAAAATACACAAATAAAACTAGTTTTTTTTAAAAAAGGTCGTTTATATTTTTATTTATTCGATTTTACTGCTGGAATTTATTAGGTATAGACGATTATTTTGTTTCTGTTTTTAACTTTCTACAAAGTCTACTTTCCCTCGAGAAATACAATGGAAGTTAGTATTGTACGTGAGAGTTACTGGATACAACACGACTACAGCATCTTCCCTTTATGTATCGCAGACTATAATGAGTATAGTAGATCCCAAGATAATTCTCAAAGTATGTCCGTCCTACAATATCTTGTATTTGGTTTATAACGTTGGAAGAGTAGATACGACCGAGTAGAATGTTGTCAATAACTGAAATGGAGTCCGCAAATTTGGAGTGGATTGCCCTGGGTCCTCTAAATTCGTGAGAAAATGGTTGATCACGAGGTATCTAACGCTCTTGGGAAACACTAAGAACGTATTCGAAGTCGATATAGAAGTGCCGAAGTCTACACTTTGATAAATTATTTGTGGAATTTTCGAATGTGATTTTGAAATTTCATCATTTTCTTGTTATTTATTATGAATGTGATTTTTCAATTTATTAAATTTGGACTTTGTGTAATGTTGTATTTTTCGAATACAGCGCCATTTTGAGCTCGAAATTTTCGATATTATTTTTCTACATTATTGCTTAGAATTATCATAAATCTTGCATACACCACCGTTAAAGATTTTCCAACAACATTTACTATATTAGAAAATCTGGAATTGCTATATATTCTGTATACAGGATCCGAGCAATTATTTATTGTAACATCGTCACAATGCCATGCTTCAATTTTTAATCATATTTTAAATTTAATTTAAAATATAGACCTTGATTTTAGTAGTATCTTACACCTGTACAGTACATCATACGTTTCCTGTTAATTTAACGCTAGAATCATCCCAGTCAAATATCTAACCCTGTTTAGGGAAAAAATTTTGAATTGAGACAATGGATATTCGGAAAGTTAATTCGGACCTCATGTTCTTAAGCTTTAAGAACATGAAATCCGAAGCTTTCCATATCTGCCCAGATTTTAATTTTTCTGACAACATTCTCGAGATTAAGGTAGGACAGACAGACAGACAGTCGGATAACAGTGAAAATTGATAGGTCTAGTTTTTTTTTCAAATTACAACCCTATAGTTTGCTATTTTAGAATTGAAGTAGAATATTTAATTATTTTAAAAATATAATAAAAATTAATTTTAAATTCAAAACTTTTTCTCTCTTCTAAATTGTTATAAAATCAAGAACTCGCAGAAAATAAAGACTTTAAAATTCCGTTTAAACCAATCCTTTAAATAAAATTTCACCCAATAACATTGTAAATGCAAATACCAAAAACAAATATTTAATTTTCGATGGCAAACAAATTGTGTAAATCGATAAGCTTGAAAGAAAATAATTCAACTTTTATTTTCTGAAAACTTCTTCAAGTTTACAAAGTTGTTGACAAGCGAAAATAACCAATTCGATGCAATTTTACTCGACTTTTGTTTATTTTAAAGTATCTCGATTTGACAAACGATAAATGCCGATTAAGTCGCCATTTTCTCTCTCTCTCGCTCTTGAATTTTCGAATAAACTTTAATATTGAACGTTATACATTCTAAAAAAAGCGCACAAAATGAAATTTATATTTTTCATTTATTCGTATACCGAGAATAAATATGTCGTATAAGTTTAAAGTTAATTTATAGAATGTTCGGAATTTAATTTAAAATCATTTTGCACAATTTATTTTAAAACATTTATAAGAATAAATGTTTTAAAATAAATTGTGTAAAATGATGAAATGATAAAGAAATAAATTATGGTCACTAAGATTTATTTTCTGCCATTTTCTTATACTTTAAAGAATATCCTTAACGAAAATTTCCCCCCCTCTTTTTTTAGGATACAAATATAAAATATTTATTTAGTATTTTTGTACCTGACACCATTAAATTTTAATTAATCACCGTTATAATTAGCATAATGAAAACTCGTGTTAGTTATGACTTAATTTATGGAAACAAAGAAGCGTCCTAACTAATCACCTTTATAAAAATAAGAATTCTATTCCAAATATTTTAAATATTTTTGTCAAACTTTAAAAATTCTTTTAAAATTTGGCAGAAAAATTGACCTCAATTATTTAATCTGATAAACCAAAATATTTCTTTCGTCTTCTCCCTTCTTTAATTAAATAGAATTTAGTATATAATGTGCAAATTATTCACGTTATTTGCACGTGAAATCATTCATTTATTTGCACCTGAAATATTTCACGTGCAAATCATATGATGAAAGAATATTTAAAAACTGTTTTTACTAAAGTGCTATTAGAAACTTATTCGATTAAAATATATGCTCTTGATTTCAAAATTAGTATTGTTTTGTCCCTGTACATTAAACTTCTCCTGAAAACAACACAGTCATGCCGGTCATCTATTTAACTCTATTCTGGGAAAAATATTTGAATTGATATATAGTTAATAGGGATATCCTGCCCTAAGCTTTTCGTATCTGGTCTTGACTTTCATCTAACACCATTCTCGAAATTAAGGAAGCACGGACAGCCAGACAACAGTGGAAATTTATAGGTCTACAATTTTTCAAATCGCAGCCTAATAAACTCTATTAATACAAGTGTTAATTGCGTGTTTTAGAATTTATTTCAGCCTTATATAAATGTCAATAATGAAAATAGTTCTTAAAAATTATGATTTATTTTTGAATTTTAAAAATTTTTTACATGTTACCTTTTGTCTTAATCACTTATCTCATTTAATATTTACAATAAGACGATAAACTATAGAATTTTTAAGACATTATATTTATTTTAAATTGCATTTTTCCAATTTCCTAATTCGAAATTTAATCTGTAATCTCATAAAGAATCTAAGAAAAGACATTTAACATTTATTAACTGTAAATCAAAGTAGAAAATTTCGCTTAAAATTTCATACGATCCTTCTCGTGCATGAGAATAAGGAATAAGTTTACCCATTAAATTTTAATTCCTGTTTTTGATCTATTAAATTTTAAATATTGTTAAATATAAATAAAATATCGGATAATATTGTTTTGTAATTAATTATGTACATATTAAATCCCTTGTTACGGGTATGATTCTTAGCGAAATAATGTTGTTTCCTTAGGCATTACTACAGTATTAACAATGACAACTATCAGCACTGGTGTTAGATCAGCTTTACCAAGGATATCCTACGTCAAAGCTATTGACATTTACTTGGTGATGTGCTTTGTGTTTGTGTTTGCAGCACTTTTAGAATATGCAGCTGTCAATTATACTTATTGGACCGCCAGAGCGAAGAAAAAAACAAAGAATTTAAAAAAGCAGAAAACTGCTTGCGATTACAGTAGTAGTTGCGAAGTAAGTTTATCTTTGAATAAATTTCTTAGATTTATAATCATATCTTAAAATCTTTTATATGTATATAATATTCCATAATCATTCAGTTTATTTTCAGATTTTTTTAGCAGTGTTCATGTATGAAAGATGGATTGATTTTAAGATAAATTTCTAGACTTTTTTGGATTCTTGGTATAGAATATGAACTAAAATAGTGGAGCATCTCCAAGAAATAAAAAAATATTTTTTTGGATGGAATAAATATAAATTGATATAAAATATAACATAAAAATACCATTGAAACTTGAAAATATATTTTTTTAAATTTCTATGATTTATTGTTGTATTGTGAACCGAAGTGTATACTTATCGAATTTATATAAATTTAAGCATGGCTTATATTTAAAATATGATTTTCTTTCAACATTCTACTCTAATATATTATATTTCTGAATTTATATTTAAATTTTAAAGAACAGTTTCGATAAGATCTTTACATAGAACTTATAATAATGTATCGTTAATTAAAGATAATTATCCAAAAATATATTGTTTAAATCTTCTGTCGGTCTGTATAATTTTATATTATATATAAATTTATGCTAATTTGTTTAAACGTATAGAAAATTTCTTCATAAGTCTAATCTAAATTAGTAGTGACATTTAGTTCTTTACGAGTTTTATAAATCCAATTAGAGGTTTGCTGTCAAAGATGTATGAGTAGGAAAACATAGTGGTGACATCACAATTCGTAAGGTTGACATTACATCCTCAACAGTCTCGATATCGCGTGTTGATATTCTCAAGAGGGAAAGATTGACAGATCCTGATTAGACAGGATATAATTTTCTTTGATGAGAAGACAGCTACTTTCTAAAATGAATAATCCACATGATGTTTTTGTGATAAAAAATGTTGAATTTTTAAATTACAAAAGTAATATTTTCAGATATTTGGGTTGACAAAATATAAGGTAGAGGTCCCATTTTGGCCCGACAACTTTGGACTCTTATTTTGACCAACTCAAACTTTACTTTCCCGACTGTTATGTATTTAAAACGGGAGAATATTGGAATCGTGTTAAATTTGACCGTCTAGGATTTTTGCAAATCTTAATGTTTTGAGACCCCGAACTCAAAATGTCAAAAGTGGGTAATTTCGTGTGGAAATTTTCTCCCTTATATGCATCTATGTGTTTGTTTGTTCGTTTAATATTTCAGGATGAAGGTAATGATTAAGAAATGAAATTTCGCTTAGTAGCATGTGTATAGGAAGCATTGATGCTATTAAATTTGGAGAGTTAGATCGAGGAAGGTGTCATATCTCGAGTGGGGTCGGACTTAATGAAGACTTTACTCATTATTAGCATTTAGAATTTTTTTTTATAAATCTCATTTCTACCCTTAAAACCAAGCTTTATGCCATTTTATAATACTTAGTAATAAAAAAAAATTTCAAATAAAATCTCACAACAGATAGTGCCACACACAATTTCAACTTTGTGCTAATTTTTCTTAGTGTTTTCGCCGGGAAAGTTACACAACGCATTGCTGGATTTTTTAAAACCTAAACGCTAGATAATAGCTTAGTCATTTCTTGAAAAAATATTGAAGTTAATTAATCAAAATAATAGTCCAAACTCTTGTTGGCCTATTGAGGTCTAACTTAGTTCAAGAAATTATATTTTTAATATTAAAATAATTTTGTATTTTTATAAATTGTGTATAAATCAAAGTTGTATTAATTAATCCACTATTTAAATCGACAGAACAAATATTTTACTACTAAAATTTGTTTTATGACACTGTTCTATAATATTCACATAATAATATTTATATTTATTAATAGGCTATTTATTTTATATAATATATAAGCTAAAATGTAATTAATAACACATTTTTCTTGTAACAATCATTATTTTTCTAATTATTTATCGTTAGATAGAATGTTATTGCATCAAGTAATTTCATCAGCACTACATCATATAGAGTAATTATAATTAATGCCTAATAGTACACATTAATATCACTTATTACGTCAGTTTTCTTTCTGAAACTTTGAGTTTCATTTATAAATACGCGTAGCAATAATGTAATTTCCAATAGTGTATATAATTTCTTAATTTTACACGAAATCTAATTATTTATTTTAGATTATACCAGGTTTTTTTTGTTAAATAATGATGTAGAATCTTATAAAAATCAAATAACTTTCAGTATCAATTGTCAGAGGAGTAAATACATTTAAAATTTAAATTTTAGAGATGAGATATTTTTTAAAAATTTCTCTGATAATTTATTGCTTTTTACTCATAATTTATGCAGAATATTTCCTTACCAAATATAATAATTTTATTTGAAAATGCAAAGTTAATGCTAAACGATAAATGTGTTGGCAATTTAGTTATCTGGTTTGTACAGGAAAAAATTAAAGCAGTTTATTTAAATATATAAATTTTTACGAATTTTACTTACAATATTAAAAACGAATAAATTAAAATTTATAAGAATTAAAAACATTTGTTTATAACATAATTTTAAATAATCTACTTTAAATATTTAGTTATTCACTGGAGGATAAAACATTAATTCTTACAAACGTCTAAATTATGTGTTGAAAATTTACAAAATAATCAAGCTTCTGGTTCATAAGTCTTAATTAAAATTATGCTCTAGAATTTAGAACATTATTAAAATTATATAAAATTATACAAATTAAAGGTTTTTAAATTCAAATTTTTAAAAGTTTTATTTAAATTTTTTTGAATGTAAAATCAAGCGCATGGTAGAAAAATTATTAAACTATTTTTAATTACTCTTACAAAAAACATTTTAAAGCTTACAGAATAATTTCTAGAACGAATTTCTACTTCATACATGACAAATGCGTAGAGAAGCAATATATATTCTTCCTCTTTCAAATAGTGATATGCTACATTGATTTCTACAAGAAGTAAATGCTTATCATTTAGCATTTTGTTTTATGCGAATTCTTCGACTTACTAAATGGGTGATTTTCTAAAAGTTTTGACACGTGTAATATAGTAAATAATTTATTTTAACTTTAAGCACGATTTTAACGCTAGTAATGCTTTCCATTCATAAATCAGAAAAGTGTAATTAATCATTTTGATGTATGCGAATTTTTTATTATTTCTTTTAGAAGGAGGATGTCATCGAGTTGGAAGACGTGAAGAATTCTCCAGCATCACTAGTCCGGAATAGACAGAGAGGTCAAGAGTCGGATCCTTCTTTCAGAACAATTAGTATGGGGCATAGAATTTCGGCATCTCTGAAGAATTTAACTGGAAATAATAGTAGAAGGAGGAAGAATGACCATTTTCATGCGGAAAGACCGAAAGTTTTAAAAAATATTCGCAGGGGTGCGAGTGTTATTAGAGCTTCTCTACCGAAAATAAGAGATGTCAACAAGATCGACAGATACTCACGTTTCATTTTTCCCGTTTCTTTTCTTGTTTTTAATGCTTTTTATTGGTGTTTCTACGTCTTATGATTGTTACAAGCTATGTTATATAATTTGGAAACGTAATAATTAACATAATTTAATTCAATTATCAAGTCAACTTTATCTCAATGTATATCTTTCTTTCATTTCTAGATTCTTCATAATTCATATTCTGACACTAAATATTCATGTTCTATATTAATAATTTTATAATATAAATGATTCAAAAAAATATTTCTGATATGAAAGAATTGAGCAGTTAACATTTTTTAAATCTTTAACGTTTGAAAACATCTTATAAATTATTTTAAAATTAATTTATACATTTTATCGTATTCAAAATATGTGTATAAATATCAAAAATAATTATTTTTAATAATTGTATAACATTATAAATAAGATTTTTCACATTTGACAATATATTCTAGTACAGTATTAACTTATATTTTTAATGAAAGTTATTAAGTTGTAATTTTTAATAAATATTTAAAATAAATTTATCCTTTACACAAGTTTTGCTGAAATGATTATATGAAATAATATTTTACGTGATTTTTAATAAAAATTTATTTAAATTCCGGATTCTTGCCAGCATCCTTCAGCAATATATACCAGTTGACAGGGATTAAAAGATGTGATAGGAAAGGATTAGCCTTTATGTTACTTTTTACAATAACTTATCTGCGCTTTATTCTACTAAGAATATTTCAACAATCTTAAATATTAAAAGATTTTTCGGGAATATTTACTTTTTAATCTTATTCTTGATGACGACGTTTGTAAATAATTAAACTGTTGTCTGACGCCAAGTCATCACCATAAACTTTGTTATACGATTTAGAGTTACGTGCAAGGAAGCATCTTTGTTACGTTTAAATAACTTTGTTGTTACACGCAATTACATTCAGGTTCTCTTAGCACTTCTATTCTCTTAAATTCAACTAAATAACAGCTACTAGAAAGAGCATTTATATAACACGTTCGAGATTTCCGTGTTTAAACACAATTGATAAAGGTTAAATTACTACTTTAAAAACATTTAAATCACGTTTATAAAGTATTTTTAAACCATAAAATTGAGATTTTTAGTTTCTATAACAGTTTTATAGGCGAATTTTACATATAATTGATGTTTATAGATAACGTTGATGAAGAAAAAGTTATATTTTGATATTTATTGATTATCGATTATTTCGAGTTCATGAAGTCATTTGTTCTTTCCTAACGACTTTCATTACCAAATCGAGAATGGGCCCGATAACCAATAAAATTGTCCAGAACTATTTGAAGCATGAACTATATATCTTATAAATCACGAAGATGAACTGAAGCGAAATTTTGACTTTAGAACTAACCAGTACTTTTACAAGAAAGAAAACAACCTGGATACTTGCTACAAGAATTCTTATCTTTTCTTACGGCCTGTTAAATCGTCCGAACTGTGACGTCAGATTCGATGCCCTCCAATAAACTGTGTATTTCTTGTGCTGAGTCGTCGAGCAATAAATTGTTCTTCCTGCTACGTCAGCTGCAACGGCACAAAATGACTACATATTTTTTCCTACAAATACAAATTTACTTTAATAGTCAAACTTTGTAATTTCAATAAAATCTTATGGTTTTTTTCTTCCAGTAAAACTTTTCAATTGTAATTATAGAATTTATGATTGTTAAAAAAACATTTTTTAAGAACATATCAAAATGCTTCATAATAAAGAAGGATAGCAAGCTATATACATTAAACTCGAAATTTAAAGCATTTATATATAGTTTTACTTGATTTTATTTATCTTCTATCTTGAATTAATNGAGGAAAGGGGCAAGTTTTATAAAAGAATTGTAAATGTTAATAATAACGAGTAAAATCGTTATTAAGTCCGATTTCACTCGAGATAGACACAAGTCTCCCCTCTATTTCCCCACCTCTCGATCTTTAACCACCAAAATTGACTAGCATTAACACACCCTAATATACAAACCTTCGTGCAAAATTTCGGAAATTTCGACAAAAGATACAAAAGGGATTGAGTTTTAAACAGTATGAACAAAATCGTGCTCTCATTCACACACTAACATCCATACTTAGAAAAAAAAACACCCATTTTTCCATTTCTCGACGTTTCAAGCTCTCCTGAATCCAAAAATGTAAAAAATTTGCGGGCCATTTCTTGACTGATCGCCATACTTTCCCATTGTTATACAGTATATAACAGTCGGAAAAATAACAATGTTAATACAGTATAACTTTATTTAATTTGTAACCGTTCACTTTCTCCTTATTCTACTGTATTGTGTTATTATATGTAAAGTGTTTGTATTGTAAAAATTAATAAATTACGCTAGAATATAAGAATATAATTTTCTTATATCAATTATTATAGTCTAATTAACAACTGGTAAATCTACATTATATATTTAGCTGGAAACATCAATACACTAATTAATTATAATTAGATGAATTCTAATTATGATAAAATAGTATAAAACTTAATTTTTAATTTAAAATTAATTAAATTTGAAGTTTCGTAAAAGTTAATGTTTTCAAATACAAATATAATGCTTTAATTAATTTTAAGATGAACATCATACAATTCAATTTCGAGAAACAACTATAAAAATAATTACAAATTTCAATAATTAATTTGTATTTAAAAATTTTTCCTGTTAATGTAAATTCAAATATTTTGATTCCATAAATTGCATTACTTGTTAATATTAATTGATTATTTAAATACGAGTATAATTATTGTTAAAGAAAATTATGTTAATATTCGTGATATATGCACATATTATACAAGAAAATTTATTAAATTTAATTTTTCTAAATTATAATTAAAAATTAGTAGTAATTAAATATATTATTGCTGATTCTTAAATATTTATTTGTTTCTAACTAATAATTTAAATGCTATAAAATTTTAATTAAACCAATTGAAAAAGTAATTAAATCCTTCATAAAATCAAATAATATAGAATTTAATAAAAGTGTAATTAATTTAATTGGTTAATATATTAAAAATAATTTTGTGATATATTTAAATAATTTATAAAACTATTAGTTCTTTAATATCTGAGTTTTATTTAAAACTCAGAAATTAAATTTTTATTTGAATTTCCATAATGAATTATTATTATTATTATGGTTTGTCAAATTAATTGGATCCATTCAAGTTTAATATTTATTATATATACTTAAATATGAGCAAAAATTTTCTGCAACTTTTAATTTAAATATGCTCTCGATCTCAAATTAGTAGTGTCTTGCCCCTGTACATCATATTTTACCTCATAACAGTGGAGTCATGCTGGTCATCTATGTAATACTGTTTTGGGGAAAAGGCTTGAATTAAAATTATGTGACTTCCGGTCTAGTCCGGAAGTTCGAATATATTTAATCGGGGCCTTCTCACTCTACGCTTTCTATATCCAATCTTAACTTTCATCTATCTAACACCGTTCTCGAGATTAAGGAAGAACGAGCAAACAGGCGACAGACGAAAGTGGGAATTTATAGATACACAAATTTTTCAAATTGCAAACCAGTTAATTTAAATTAAACCATTTTGTTAAGAAATCATTTGTAAAGTAGAGCACCATTTGTAATTTAATATTTTTAATGTACCGTACATGATCATGTACAAAACAGACATTAGCCGTACACATAGGTTCTACGTAGCACTTTATTGGATCCATTATACAACATGAACTTGAAATGCATTTTGGGATTTTTATTCCCTTGTCAACCAGCCATGCATACTTCAAGTTCTATAATATGCATGCATGGCTGGCTGAGGAGGGGATACAAATCCCAAAATGCATTTCAAGTTCATGTTGTATAATGGATCCAATAAAGTGCTACGTAGAACCTATGTGTACGGCTAATGTCTGTTTTGTACATGATCATGTACGGTACATTAAAAATATTAAATTACAAATGGTGCTCTACTTTACAAATGATTTCTTAACAAAATGGTTTAATTTAAATTAACTGGTTTGCAATTTGAAAAATTTGTGTATCTATAAATTCCCACTTTCGTCTGTCGCCTGTTTGCTCGTTCTTCCTTAATCTCGAGAACGGTGTTAGATAGATGAAAGTTAAGATTGGATATAGAAAGCGTAGAGTGAGAAGGCCCCGATTAAATATATTCGAACTTCCGGACTAGACCGGAAGTCACATAATTTTAATTCAAGCCTTTTCCCCAAAACAGTATTACATAGATGACCAGCATGACTCCACTGTTATGAGGTAAAATATGATGTACAGGGGCAAGACACTACTAATTTGAGATCGAGAGCATATTTAAATTAAAAGTTGCAGAAAATTTTTGCTCATATTTAAGTATATATAATAAATATTAAACTTGAATGGATCCAATTAATTTGACAAACCATAATAATAATAATAATTCATTATGGAAATTCAAATAAAAATTTAATTTCTGAGTTTTAAATAAAACTCAGATATTAAAGAACTAATAGTTTTATAAATTATTTAAATATATCACAAAATTATTTTTAATATATTAACCAATTAAATTAATTACACTTTTATTAAATTCTATATTATTTGATTTTATGAAGGATTTAATTACTTTTTCAATTGGTTTAATTAAAATTTTATAGCATTTAAATTATTAGTTAGAAACAAATAAATATTTAAGAATCAGCAATAATATATTTAATTACTACTAATTTTTAATTATAATTTAGAAAAATTAAATTTAATAAATTTTCTTGTATAATATGTGCATATATCACGAATATTAACATAATTTTCTTTAACAATAATTATACTCGTATTTAAATAATCAATTAATATTAACAAGTAATGCAATTTATGGAATCAAAATATTTGAATTTACATTAACAGGAAAAATTTTTAAATACAAATTAATTATTGAAATTTGTAATTATTTTTATAGTTGTTTCTCGAAATTGAATTGTATGATGTTCATCTTAAAATTAATTAAAGCATTATATTTGTATTTGAAAACATTAACTTTTACGAAACTTCAAATTTAATTAATTTTAAATTAAAAATTAAGTTTTATACTATTTTATCATAATTAGAATTCATCTAATTATAATTAATTAGTGTATTGATGTTTCCAGCTAAATATATAATGTAGATTTACCAGTTGTTAATTAGACTATAATAATTGATATAAGAAAATTATATTCTTATATTCTAGCGTAATTTATTAATTTTTACAATACAAACACTTTACATATAATAACACAATACAGTAG